CTCTGACACACAGATCTCAGCCTTGGCGACACCAAAGGAGAACCCAAAGAGGATGCTCTTGTCGAGGAAAGCTTCCAAAGAGACCAGGTGATCGAGAAGGTGCGGGCAAGCACCCTTGTGCCTCGCACCCATATCCTCCCGCAGCTTGTCGTAGTAGTAGTCGGAGGGAGGTTCCTCGATCATCTTCTCAATGTCGGCCGATTCCACTATGTGGTACACCGGCTCGTTCCTAGTGTCCACTCTGGAACCACTAGTGACGTCTCGGCCGTGGCTTCCTCCAAGCCCCCTCGTAGCGGAACCCGCATCCCATCCTGCCCAACGCGGCCCCGTCTTCGTCCTGAAGACCGCGAGATCGGACGTGACGGGCACGGTCGACCAGTCGACAGACTCGGGCCAAAGCCTGAGGTCCCTAGTCTGCCACAACCGCCACGGGCCGCCAGAAGACTTCAAGAGGCAAGTCTCGTACGGAAGCCTTTCGACATCCGGCCGATTCTCCGGGTCACCTTCCTGGGGCCTGCCGCTCCAAAGGCCAGCCATTCCTCCCTTCGTCTGCCACCACTGGCCCTCAGTGGGGATGGAGGAGAGGAAGGACACGGCATCCGGATCCGTAACCACGGACTCCGTGGCCCAAGGCCCTCCTAGGACCGTGCTTACGGCGGCAAGGGCGAAAACCGCCCCAACCCTCAGGCCCTTACGCCAACCCCTGCTGTGCGAGCATGCGCCGCAGCCTTGCAGGCCACAGACGGCGGTCCTCTCGGTGGACCCGCACGCAAAGCATCCAGGGAAGGTCGAGTCTTCGGCAGTGCCTAATCCGCAGTTCCCACACGGGTCACCACTCGCGTCCGTAAAGAGGGTCTCAACCCCTCCGCATTCACACGCGGTGGTCTGCGCGAGCCCGGTCCGGACCTCGCCGACGACGGCACCCGGAGAGACAGTCGTGTCCTCTTCGGCTACCAGCAAGATCGAACCTTCCTCGGCTCCTGTGGGCCACAGCCCAGGCACTGCTTCGCAGTTGGCGGACTCTACCGGGAGGACAGCCTCCGTAAGGGAGCCATCCTGGCCTCCACTGCCTTCCCTCTTCACAGGTGCGATGACCCCATCTCCGGCCAAGAGCTCCAGCGGGTTCTCCCCGCTGTACCGGAGCAGGTCCCTGCCTCCGGTACCCGGCTCAAAGCACAGAGCACCGTCGAGACTAGAAAGCCTGGACTCGAAGGCGTAGGCGCGGTCCTTCCGCGACCTACTGTAGTCTTCGCACCTGGGGATCTTAATCCCAAGGGTTTCCAGGGAGTGGCAGTCAGGAAGGGGCTTGAAGCCCAAGCCCTGCCGTCCCGAGCAATCCAAGGCGCGGCCGCCAAGGATGAGCCCATGCCAATCCGAGGTTCCTTTCGCGGCTATTTTACAGCGCACGAATATCTCTGGACCCTCGCTGCAGTTGTCGGGGGAGAGCCCCTCCAGAAAGCGGACTCTCAGCACGACGGCCCCCTTCAGGGGCACCGGCTTCCCTGCAGCGATCCCATGGACGAACTCCGGATGCACCCAGCGTTCGAACTTCACGACAGGAAACCTCCGGTCCTCCGTGCCGATCCCCAAGGCAGCAGCCCGGTTGAGGATCCCACAGAGGAGTTCCTCCGTGATGTGGTTCGAGCCTGCACACCCGTCCAGCATGCATTCCACCATGCCGTCGATGACCTGCACGACTGTTCTGTACTGGTACCCCCCGACCTCGTTCTCGCAGAGGTGCCACCAGTCCTGAGGCAGCTCGTCCAACGAGCTGAACTTCGACGACGAGCTCTTGGCAAGCGGGAAAGCGGAGGAGTTCGCCGCAACAACCGTGCCAGCGCTCCCAATCTGGATGGAGAGCGTAGCGAAGGGATTCACCATCCCGGCGCCACTCGGGGCCGCCCAGTTCGAAGGCAACGCGGCTCCCCCAGTGGCGGGAAGCGAATGGACCATGTCACAGTCCGCTCCCTTACGGCACGACCCGTTCTTCTTGAAGAAAGGGCAGATAGTCCCTGGCGGCTTCGCGCCCGCCTTGGACTTCGCCTTGGGCTTGGCCTTGGCCTTGCCTTTGGGCTGCCCTCCGGGTCCACCCTTGCCCTTGCCCTTGCCCTTCCCCGGCGTTGTCGCCAGGGTGGACGCGTCCCGCTCCTTCTTGGCCGCGAGGGCCTTTTTGCGGAGCTCCTTGTCGTGCGAGTAAGGGCACGCGTCCCCTTTTGGGCAGTTCCCGTGGTCGCGGAAATGGAAACAGATAGGCTTACCTTTTCCATTTCCTTTCGGACCAGCGGCAAGCGTGGAAGAGGCGGCCGCCTTGGCCGCGGCCTTAGAAGCCTTGAGCTCCGTCCTCAGCTTCTCGACCTCCTTCCGCGCGGCGGACAGGGCTGGGTCTTCCGTCGAACCTGCGTACACGCTATTAGCCGTCACCCGATGCGCAGCCTCACGCTGCTCATATTCGAGGACGACCTTATGCGCTTCTTCCCAGGTCGAAGGGCCTCGAAGCCCTGCGGATGCGCCGTCGCTAGGCCACAACCGCTTATCACCGCGGATCTCCTTCTGGAGATGTGGAGGCATCTTGCGCAAGTAGCTTAGGAAGAGCTCCCTCGCTGTCTTGCCAAGACCCACACTCTCCAGCTCCGCGATGGAGGCCTCAAACAGGGGCTCGAACTGGTGCCCTGTGAGACGGCCCTTAGTGAGGGCGACGTGCTCCGCGTCCACCCTCATCTCCTTCTCTTCTCGGCTCTCGCCGAAGACAAGGTGCCGCTGCTTGATCCTTTCGTAAACGGCTTGGGGATTCTCAGTAACTTCCCCGGTCTTGGAGGCAGCCTTGTACACGTTAGTAAAGGTCTTAAGCCTCGAGCCGCGGCAGCGAGCACGAAGGGCGATGAGTTTCTCCCGGAAATTCATCCCCTTGCAGTTGTTGGCAAGGCCACAGACGTCCTCGAACTCTTCGTAGAACTGGACCACGTCCCGGATGTCGGAGCGATCGTCGGTGAGCGAGGGCCATTGGAGGTCCGTCTTCACGGTCGTGATCGACGTCTGACCTCCGCGAGACGCCAAGGCCTCCTTGAGCGCCTCGGTCTGGGCCGCCAAAGCTGCAGCGAGCTCTCCGGCTCCGCCGCTGGCGGAGTGAGGCTCGCCGGGCTTATCCTTCTTAAGCCCTTCGAGCTCTATCTCCAGAGCCGCAAGGCGGGACTTCAGGGGTGAGTCCCCCGGACCAGGTTGCGGATCCTCAGGGATCGCGAGCTGAAGGTCCACCGGGAGAGGCGCCGGTGCTCCGGACTTAGAGCCCGACTCCGCAACGGCGCCCGTCCGGGCCGCCAGGGCCGGGACAGAAGAAGGAGTGCTCCAAACCTTCTCGGGATCGCCGCTGCTCTTGCCTCCCAGGGCCAAGATCAGCTCGCCGAGGCACGAGATCTCCTTCTCGACCTCCTCTCGGTCTTCCGACCCAAGAGAAACCGCGGCAACGGTAAACCTGGTGCGCAGGGCCCGCACCATCCTGGCAGGGTGCCAGTCACCTCCCATTTTGCCGTATTCCTCGGCAAGGATGGTGGCCTTGGTAGTGATCTTCTCAAGATCCTCCACCGTGACCTCTGCCTGGTGCGCCTTCAAGGCCACAACCAGCCTTGAAACCCGCGTCAGGTAATCCGCGACCGGTTCCTGGTCGGGACGGTAGAGCTCCCGCAGGTCCGCCTGCAGGGTCTCCGCCGTGACGGGACCACCCGTCCCAGCAGACGAGGGAGGCCCGGAACGGGCCGGGCCGCCGGCCACCGGCGAGAGAGCAAGCGCACCAACACGGCGCGCCGTCTCGGCCACGTCCGCCGGCGCAGCGGCAGGACGCGGAGCCGGTACCCCGGCCTCCGGCAGAAGCTCTTCAGAGCTGGGGCCCGGATCGCCATCCTGAGCACCCGGGCCCGCTTCCGCAGCTGGAGCTTCCTCATCTTCCTCTTCATCTTCTTCCTCTTCCTCTTCGGCATCGAAGTTGTCGTAGAGGAATTCCATCGTCTCCTTCCACAGACGCTGTTCATCTGCTAGCGTCGTGGATCGTCCGTCCTTCTTCTTGGTGGGACGGGACCCCGTTTCCTTACGCCAACGGAGCCAGTACATAAAGGGCATCTTCTCCGGGTACTCCACTGACCCATCCTCGATGCACCTCAGCAACGTGGCTCCTTCCGGCTGACCTGCGACCTCAGCGCTCATGGTCGCCTAGCGAAGGAGAGAGCCCCGTGCCACACAGGACCACGGCCTCAAGGCGCACGACAAGCGCGCCTTCGAGGCCACGTTAAAAGATTGCGGCGCAGCAGCCGCCTGGGTGGCCGTTTCCCAGAACAGCCCCCAATTGTGGAGAACGGAAACCCAAAGGGGCAGCACGCACCCTCGTTTTCCGTCCAAGCAGAAAGTCCAACGACCGTGACAGGTCGAACGTCCGCCCAGGACGGGCTGCGCGCAATTGCGTCGCGGCAACGAGAAGCTACCAACGACACACTGCCGTGCTCACTTGAGCCAAAAATGTTATGAATACGAATTACAGAAGAGCATGCATAAAAGCATACAGCACAACAGCCAGCCCGCAGACTATGTACAGTTACATGGTGGTGGTGGTGGTGCAATTGCCGTGGTAGTGGTAGTGGTCGTGGTCGGGCGGAAGTGGAAGTGGTAGTAGTAAGTGGTGGTACGAGTAGTAGTGGCAGTGGCAGTGGCAGGGGGAGGGGGAGGGTAGAGGTAGGCGTAAAGTAGAAGAATTATAGAAGTAGAAGAGGTGGCAAAAGTAGAAGAAGTAGTAGAAGCAATAGAGTTAGCAGAAGTAGCAGAAGCAGGAGCAAGAAGGAGGCGGAGGTGGAGCAGCAGGAGCAGCAGGAGGAGGACGACGACGACGAGGAGAAGGGTATCTGTAGTGCGGTAGGAGTAGTAGTCTGTGTAGGAGCAGCAGGAGCCGTAGGAGCAACAGCAACAGTAGCAGCAGGAGCAGGATTAGCACTAGCAGTAGCAAAAAATAGTGCTGGCGCCTCGTGACCTGCAGCGCGTGCAGGAGGGAAGGCCTCAAAACAGTTCGGAGACTGCCCACGAGGGTCTACCCCTTCAGACAATTAGCGTGCTGGCACATGCAGAATCATGGTTCCTCCCGATCTTCCTGGTGACTGTCGCAAGTTGCTTGGGGTCGAGCTGATGGCTTTGGCGCAGGCGGAGTGCGGGAGCCTGTCGCAGGGTTTGCAGCCCCAATACCGCCTAGTAGATGTTTTTCGTCGCCTCTTTTCCTCCCACGGAAGCAGAGACACAACCATCAGCATGCCGGCTTAAAGTTTAGTGTTCAGGGTTTGGGCTAGTACGGGGGGCTCTCGTGGTCACCAATGAGTTCTGATCTGGATGAGCACAATCTGCACCGCTCTAGCTGCTGGTGGAGGTTGGTGGAAGGCTGCGACAGGTCTTGGGGCCATCCTGTGCAAACCCTCTGTGAACTGCCTGGCTCGGGTTGAAGCCAGTCGCCGGTCGGTGGCGGCACATCTTCCTGGCAACCCTGAACAGCATGTTGTTGGCCCTCATGGGTTTTAGTTGGCCCTCATGGCTTTAAACTAAATCCCCAACACCATGTAGAAATGCCAAATCGCGACTTTCTGCTGGAATTTTGCAATAGTCGTGAGCTCTCTGAAGAATCGTTGCAGGGCTGAAGTCACAAAGCCGGCCGAGGCAAATCGATCCAAATAACTTCAAGAAGCTCCGTCGCTGGTGCCGTACTGTCTATGTTGAGGATCAAGGGGTCTTCCCCAGACAAACCGGAACTCTGGCAATCCAACATTGTTGTAGATTTTGAGTATGACCCCATTGCCTAGCATCGTTGGGTGTGCGGATCCTTGCTTGTGCACGCACCGCCTGGCATATGACCCAACCGACTGACCGACATCCGACCCACAACAAATACTACATTATGTGAATATTCTGTAGACATGCACTGCGTGTTCGAACTGACAGGATGCGGCAGGTGCTGGCCTTGCGAGAGTGCCCTACACCGTTGCTGACATAGCTGTCCTTAGTCGCAGTATCACATCAGCAAGCGTGCCAAGCCTCTGTTGGCTTGCTGCAGGGACTCTTTCGCAACTCACGAAAACGCATGACCGCCTTGCAGTGCGACAACTGCCAAGACCTGGTGACATTTGTCCAAGGCACCGTCCCTGCAAAGATTGGCTTTTGCGTAGGCTTCTTGAATCGCTCCTGATTCCGACGTATCAACACAATGGCTTCGAGAAAACGAGTCTGAGAAAACAATCGCTCCAAGGTAGCGCAAGACTACCTCCAAACTTTCAGCGAGAGGCGGAGTTTGGACGCACGGAGACGCCTTCCAATTGTTTCACGACCCTGGCAGCTGAACGCATTCAAGGCAGAGTAGACGCTGTGTTGCGAAGCTCAAAAAGATGGGCTGGAGAGCCTGTCTCGCTTCCGGAGAGTAAGAACCACCGCAGACCTTGTGCGTGGATTCTCCTGCGAACAGAGTGGTTGCAGTCTGTGCTGCAGTGAAGCCTTCAAAATGTATATATTGATCTGCGTGGAACCTGCTTCCAAGCGCTGCAACATTCAGCAATCCTGACGATCTACTTCACGCGGCTTCATAGCATCTCGCGTGATTTCCACGCACCAGTTCTTGTCGCTTTCCATGCCGGGGAAAAGCCTCACTTTTGCAAAGCTTCCATCTGGACACAGACACAGACGACAGTAACAGAGACCCAGGTCTGCCGAGTCACTCTAGCATGCGGGACCTACTCAAGCCATCCAAATAGCCATTTGTTTGGTAGGGCTCTTCATGACGCCGCACGAAGGATCTCAGCGCGAGCGACAAAAGCTGCTTCGCATGACATCCGGCACAGAGTCTGAAACGCTGACAAGATTCACGACAGCATCGGTCTCCTTCTTCTTGAAGACTATGATGGCGCACTTGCCGCCATCAACCAAACTCGGAGCATGGCGGGACAGTCCCAACTCCACCCGACATGCGCCTGCAGAGTGGCCTCTCCATGGCTGCATCCATCACATCATCAAGCTGCTGCATCTCCTTGGCGGCACAACACCATTTTCAGGGCGAAGGCAGGCCTTTGAGGCCAAAAGCACAGGCCGCAGGCTCCTAAAAGCTGCCAAGGCACCTGGTTCAGGTGGACGCGGATCGCCTGGAAAGTCAGCTTCGCCTGAATGCTTTGCAGCTCACGGGCAGCTGCGGAAAACCGCAGAAGACTCTGCCAGACCTGCATTGCGAGATGCTAACAGGCCCAGGGACTGGATGCTGGCCGCGGTCATCCCAGTTATTCCTCGTCTCACAGGGAGCCAAAACAGCACCCCCGTGGCAGGGCTTTCAATTTGCTTCGATGTTCTCCGTCTGAATACCGTGCACATGTCTGCAGTCGGGCACGATGCGAACCCTGGGCCCTGAGCCCCGAGAGTGCAAAACCATTGCAAATTGCAGCTTGGTGTCTTGACCCTGCGAACCAGCTCAGCGAGGTGCCTTGTTGTCCGCACTTCCAGTCCACTGGCGATCCTGTCGCAACGCTCCGCACCTTCAATTCCGCAGGTTTGTTCCAGCACCTTGCCTTCTTTTGATGGCGTAGGCAATCCGATCGCTAATGATGGGATCGCCATCTTCACCATATTCGCGGATCACCCATGCAATCTCCTGAAACAGATGCTCGAGATGCATCTCGAACCCTCACAGGTTCAAGTGCTGGAAATCGCAACCTGAACGTCGTGTTCACAGGCTGGCCACAGATTTTGAACTCCAGGTGCCTCCGTAGATGTCTGCCTGAGCCATTGCCAAGCGGGGATCCCCACGTCCTGTGAGGATGCTGGGAGCTCTCATAACAGTCTAAGGAAAGCTCCTAAGCTTCGCTGCAGAGAGCAAGCAGAGGGTCCGACGGTCCTGGTTCATCCGGAGGTCCAAGTCGGCATCCTGACCGCGTACACTGAGCTGCCGTTTGGCTCCGGAGATGTACGGTCTGTAGCTAGTGGAGATCCCATAGACCGAGAGTCAGGGCCACCCCATTCAAAGCTCCTGGGTGACACTGAATCCGCGGGCTCGGTCGTCAAGCTGTGGGCTTGACACGCCGAGATCCATCATGATCCCATCCTTGGGATCAGTCTGAGGTGCCCTACGACTCTTGCGGCAGATTTCGACATCCTTCCAGTATTGAGTGCGTGTCGGAACCTTGATACGGGACTCGGCACATCTCGGCACCCAACTGCGAAAAACCCTCAATCCCGACAGCTTCCCGGCCGCGTGGCAATCCTGCGGCCCGCAAGTTCCTGTCGGGTCTTCCGCAAGCTGGTCATCAGCGTGTAGCTTGAGATTTCACTTGCGGCAGCCGTCAAGATATGGCTGATCCCCGACCCAGATCCCCAAATAGTGCGAGCCTCGAATCCCAAATTACCCGCGAGCCTGGCGCAGCTCCGAAAAAGGGCGGTGTGCTATGTGAAATCTTGGATCCTGGCAGGCTGTGCCATGAGGCAGCTTGCCTTACTGGACTGACCCAACTGCTGCGGCACTGGTTTCACACTTCTGGACCTTCAGTGTGCATCTTGATGCCGGATGACGATGGAACGGTGGCTGCCGAGGGTATCAGGAAACCGAAGGAATACCCGCAACATGGAGACTCAGTGCAGCAGAGTCCTGCTGCTCAAGCTTCCGGGCTTCTTTGACTGCCTCTGGATCCTTTGCAACATGGCACAGCGCAAGATCAAGGCTTCGCCCATTGCTTGAATGCAGAGCCAAGGCTCGACATCGAAGGCGATGAGCCTCGCCGAAGGCGACAGCCGTTCCAAGATCTTCCGCGTGTGTCCCCCTGCATCGCTGGGTTCTCTCGGGTTCAAGCACAGATTGCCGGGTCGAGATGTACTTTCAGTTCGCCGATGGCAGAGAAAGTCCCAACAATCGCAATCGGCCATGTGAATAGGCCATGGGATACATTGTAAATGAAGGGCTTTGTCATGATAGAGTTTGACAGACTTGCTTCCAAGTGCTCTCTTCACGAGCATTCCACAAAGAGGGGCGGCTTTGTCAATCCTAGTTTTGATGCTGCAATGACTCTCTCTCTCTCTCTCTCTCCCCTGCTGTCGCGCGCTTACCAAATTTCGCCTGTCACAGACCATCTAACCCCATCTCATCGAGCATGAGTCAAGACAGCGACAGACGACTACGCACATTACAGCATTATTGCACTTCAGGTTTTAAATTCTTCTGGTCAGCGCCGAGTCGAGTACGAGTCCTGCAAGGGTTTCTGGCCTAAGCCAACGCGCTTTTGAAATTCAAGGGCCGCCTTGGTGTGAGAAACACAATCCTTCGAGCACAGAGGTGCGCCGAGACACCGAGAGTTCTTCGGCAGGAGAGCTAACAAGTTCTGCGGGAGAGGGATGTGTCACAAAAGACTGAACACCAGCTATGCAGCTGTAACCGTTTTGGAAGGCCTCTTCCGAAGGTGCAGTCCACGAAAAGGCCATCCCAGGTTCCATCGTGTCTTGGATATTTCCTTGCGAAGTTGACGGTGCAGGCTTAATCATCTAGCAAGCCTGGCACGGCCAAGCGGCGCGACATCAATACCTCAAACCCCAAGGCTACGACATCAGGTAAGCCCTGCGTAGAGAGCTCCCGACGCAAGACTGAACAACTAGGCAAGATAAACAAAGCCGAACCGGGACCGACCCAAAGTACGCGACTGTGAGCACGCATCCCTCAGGGAGCCTTCTGTCTTCATGAGGTAGTACGGGGGACCCCCTCCAACACATGCCCTTATCCGCTGCTTTATCAGACCTAGATGCCGAGTCCCACAAGCTCCTGAACACGCTGAAGTTCTAACGCTGCGAAAAAGTGTCGAACCCCTTGTTACCTGTTCATGGCTTTCCCGTGTCAACTTTGCAGCGCACACCGTATATCACTGCAGTCCAGTTGCAAATCGGGAAGCATTTCACTCACGGCTTCCTCTAAATGACCTGAGCCATCCAGGTCTTAAAGGGCTTCATTTAACCAAGGGTACCGCAAAGGTCACCAGCCAACAAGCCAGTCTGTCGCACCATGAAGGAATGATTGCATGCAAGCAGCAAGGGATGTGTTGAAATTTGGCCGGCACCTTGGCGTGACTCAGCTTTTTCCTGTTTGCACCGAGTGCGCAGGAAAACCAACCACGGCGATTTCCTTGCAAGGTGCGTATCTGCCAGCTCATACAATTAAGCGCAGTTAGAAAGACGTCGGACCTAACAGATTCGACCGAGCAGCTGAGGCCTCACGACGGGCGAAATTGCCTTCAATACATTGGGAACGGCTGCTGGTTTAGTTCAGAGATTGAAACGAGTTCCTGAACATATACATGCAACTTTCGACTTCTTGCTGAATCTACCAGGTCAGGATATCAAGAAACGTGCCGAAAGGGAGGCTCTGAGAACAGATCGGGTTGCCTGCCTCGGTCTGCATAAGACTGCGACCTCGAAGCATTGATGGAACATACCGGAGCACAGTGCGCAGTGCTACTGTAGCGACTGCAATACAGGTGCGATCTGGCAACGATCACCCCTACGAAGTCCACTTCCACACGTACTCGGCATGCAGTAGTCACTCAGCGAGTCACAATCTATCGATGAACACTGCTACCCTTCAACAAAATCACAAACATGAGACTCTTCATCGCCCACCTTCCCAGACGTTGCTCGAACGGCGCTGCTGCCACATTTGGCTGATACCTGCAGAAGTCTTCAGCACAAATCGCCCCAAGCTCGCAGCTCGAGGCTGTACTACCATGGTGGCACCCCGACCAGGCGCTGGCGCCGACAGGATCTGGTCTCCGTTGTGGTGACGGTGCCCTGAAGGAAATCTCTTGAGGTCGTGGGTAAAGGAAGTGGGGGCAGAGTTGGAGATGACACCTTCGACAGCAATGAACATCACTAGTGCAGGCCTTGCAGTTGCAGTAGGGGCAGACTGAACAGGCGGCGGCGTGGGGGTGGACCACGGTGGAGGGACATCCGGCACCTGCGCGGCACGGCACGGCAGGCTTATGCATCCACATTGGCTCGAGCTGAATCCTCCAGGTTCTGCTCGTGCTCAAGTTCTCATCCCGTCGTGCAGTGGCAAATAGACAAATACACAACGACACCATCTCGTACATGTCCTAATGCGACTTGCTCACAAGGTTCTGCACCTTCGGCGGCGGATCGGGGAAAGGTCCCATGGCTTCACACAGAAGCGATTCCTGGCCTATGCTACAACATTCCAGTCAAGGAGTGCTGTGGATGTCGGGTCGATCCTGAAAGGAAGCCAATGCTGCTTCGTGGGCAATTGCATCTTCAGATCGGTCTCCGCTGCTGGGCAGGGCAGCGCTGGTCAGTAGATAAAGACTTACCGGGCACTGTCCTGACAAGAACAGTCGAGACCCAAGCATGCGGACAAAAAGCTGATGTCGAGCCAGAGCGAGCATCTATATTTGCTATACCTGTCTCAGGAAGGTGCAAAGGCAGGCTCTGAAAGAGAACATGACTACCGATTCGCTGTCCGTGCAAGGCCTGAGACCTGCCTCAATTCCATCCAACCTCGATCAATCTGAACCCCAAACCATGGAAAGATGGGGGGCTCACAGCTGGACACCTTTTCGTGTGACCGCAAAGAACTCCATGAGCTAGCCGTGCCTGGCAGAAGCACAACTGCGTAGCCGAGGCCAGGCACGTTTCCGAATGTTGTCGATCTGGCGAAATACTGGATACACCACACTAGCCAAATTAAGGGCTGAGGTTCTTTGCCGGCAGCATCGCGAAACAAATTGGGAACGGTATCGGGGCACCATTCCTGTTTATGCTTTTTCCGTGGGCGACGTTGCAATTGCAACATTTGACTGTATTTCTCGGGGGAGCACGGCTCAGACTTACCGCGCTGGATGCAAGCGGGCTTTCTGGCTTTGCCAGGGCACCGAAACTCCAATGCACATCCTGAAAAGAATTCTGCCGCGGCATGCGGCATCCACCTCACTGCTCCCTTACGTGGGAATTTGCAAAGACGTGACACTGACGTTGGATCGTGCAGAACCCGTTGACGGGCGACGGACATGCTCGGCGCCTTCCTCGGTGGGTTGAGTTGTGCATGGGTTAAGCACTTCTAGGCTCCATGCCAAGAACATTCGAACACCAACTGACCCTTTGTTTTCATATCTGCCAAGCTTCTCCCTGCAGGGCATCGATCAGCATGTTCAGCTGCAGCTTCAGTTCTTGAAACTCGACCTGCCCATGATGATACCCATGACTGACGCCGCAGGCTCTATGAGATTGCGGGCGGCTTCCCAATCAGTACTTACGCTAAGTGCAAACTTTGCAATACCGAGATTGCTTGCAATGACACCAGGTTCCGAGAAGCCTTCATCGGTACGGCCCTTGTGTGCTGGAAACTCACCCAAGATGAGTCGTGAGTCCGCCTCCGCATGCCCTTGGAAACGGCTCTGCGACTTGATAAGCCAATTTTGGTCGTGGAGCAGCTTGCCGACCTGGGTTGCCAGCTCTGTTCCAACCCAAACACTCAACAGGTTGCGGGCCACCGGCATGTGTGGATTTGAGATGGTCTGTCGCCGGTTGCACACTACTGCGGACGGCACGCATCCATAGCACGAGCAGTTCCCCGGAATCGGAGGCACCCCATCAAGAACTCATCCACAGAAACCGCACCACCCTGGTCCAGGTCCAAGAGTTTGAAGAATGACCATGCATCCCACACGTCCTTAGCTCGTTTTTTGCTTGATGTAACTCGCTTCTCTCTTGCGTCTCCTTACTTTCGTTGTTAGCGCTGTTGCTGGCGTCGTCCTTCTTATTATCTTTGTTGTTGCTGGAGGTGCCAGTGCTGCCGGTACTGGTTGATTTAGTTGGTGCTCTCACGTGTCTCGCTCTTCTTCTGTTTCTTGCTGCGTGCGTTTTTCTCTGAGTGGCGTCGAAGGGCATTTCGTTTCGTGCAATGCGTAGAGTAGTTGCTGTTGCTGTCGACTCATTCTACTCCTGCACCTCCTGCTCCTCCTGCTCCTACTACTGCAGCTACTACTACTCCTCCTTCTCCTCCTGGCTCCTGCTGCTGCTCCTCCTGCTGCTACTGCTGCTACTGCTGCTAGCCACTGCTACTGCTACTGCCACTGCTTCTGCCACTGCTGCTGCTGCTTACTGCTAGTGCTACTGCTGCTCCTGCTTCTGCTACTGCTTCTGAATCTGCTACACTGCTACTGCTACCGTTTCTGCTACTGGGGGTGGTGGGTGGAACGGGATCGGTGTGGGGTGGGAAGGCGTACGACCAAGACGGGAAGGAAGAAGAAACATTTCTTGTCTGGCACCGGCAAGGTCGGAGGGACGCAGGGTGTGGGGCGAGGCGGCAGCACGAGTGTATGTGTGGAGCTTGCGCGGGTCTGCTCTGATCAGGGTCGGCTGTCATAGAGGTGTCAGTTCTGTTTGGGACCGGCTTTGTGTATGAGGCGCGAAGGGACGTTCCTCCTTTTGCGCTGGGGTCCACGGTTTGACATAAGCCAGACAATCGAAGTCGTCATGTTGTAGATCTCAGGAATGGCAAAAGCGCGGTCCAGAAATGTCAAACGAAATGACCAGTAAGACAGTGAGATCCAGGATGCAGTGATGGCTTTTGGAAGGCTCACAGTGTGCTCACTGCTTTATGTCACTCGCAACAGTGCTATCCCCATGCAGCTTCTGCAGCCGTACCAAGCGCACCGCTCGTCCACACTCAACTCCCTCGTTCCCAGGTCGGAAGCATGTGATCAACACGGGTAGCGAACCTGTTCCTCCATGCCTAGGGTCTTCTGGAGTTTTCAAGAGCCCCCAAAGCACTTCCAGAATTCTTATCGTGGGCTAGAAAGCAGGCAAGCATCCAAGTTCAGACTCTCGAAGTATTCTCGCACCGCCGGCGTGTTAATCTTCTCCTGAACCGATGACAGTACTCTTGTATACAGCCCCAGAGAGTGACATGTAAATGTGCAAGCATCAAAGATTATGTGGCAGCACAGACTAGCGTTTGCTCAACTCCTTAGGACGAAGCTGCCCCTGCAACAGTCCTGAACTTCGAGTGGACCCTGCGCGCCTCGAACATCGGAAATGTGATGATGGCGTCAGGCTCGTCGCTAGCAGTCTCTGTGTTGAACTTGCTGAAAAGCTGCCGAAGCTTTCTCATATGGGTTTCCTGCCACGGCATTTTGGCCGTCTGATTCGGAAGAACAGACACCTCGTATTGCCGTTGATTATAGCGTGGTTTATGCTCAGAACAAGTAAACGCGGCGAAGATCAAGGCTTTTGACCCCAAACAAGTAAGAATTCCAAACCTTTGATTATGATCCCCAGGCACATAGTCGAGTTCCTGCGTGTGCAGCGTCTTATAAGAAACGGTGCTGCGGCCCAACAATCCATTGGCTGTGCCTACCACGCTCCTAAGCGCAGTGTGCGTCTGAAGCACTCCTTTCGTCTGGATGTGGGAACGTCCATGCGTCACAAAAGCATGTATTCGGAGTCCTTGTTCTCAAGAATGCTCTGCACAACGGCTGCATGGTCGTTCTGCGCAGATTCAATTGCAGAGTGGCAGAAGACTCCTGCACTCCGGCAAGTTCTAACTAACTAACTTTGTTCTGGTGCCGGCAGCCCCCAAATGGACAGGACACCTGTGGGCCCCTCACATCAAAAGGGAGGGGTGGCCATGTGACATGAGTGCAAGGCGCAGCCTGCAGTAAAGCGAAGGCAACGCAAGACAACTCATGTTGTCAACCAGCACAGGGAGTAACCAAGCCAAGCCTGGAACACAAACCAAGCCAAGGCAAGCCAGCAGAGGCCCCTGCTCACAGACGACAGGCACGGAAGAGCCTGGGCCAGCGAGAGGGGACCCCGACACGAGAGTCCACAAAAAGTCACATGCCGCCCACACAGAAACCAAAGCCTGAGCGGGCGTGACGAAAACAACCAAGCACCAAACGACCTACACAACAAAGTTACGACCTCCACCTTGCCTTCCACACACACTCTTGTATCTGCGCAAGCCAAGGAAGGACCACATTAACATCACGTTTGGGTCCCCAACCAAAACACTCCGGCAAGTTCTCTGAAGACACAGTACATTAATAACACATATTCACGAGCCAGGCTTGACTAACAGCGAGATACTAAACCTCACAGGACTTCCCATCAGCTACTGTACCCCTCAGACCTGGACAACGCGCACACATGCACACGCACACCGAGACGGCTTGCACCAAGTAGAAAAAGAACATCGTCCGTCCTGTGACGACGTTCAATACCTTGGCTTTTCTAGAGGCCTCCATCGCGATCAGCATGCCATATGCCATGAAAGTCTTGTCTGCTTCAGTGCGTTTGCCATATGCGAGAGCCGTGATACCGCGAAGTAAGTGAAACTCATGTAGAAAAGGAAGACGAAGATCCACAAGCCCGACCTGAGCAGAACAACCGTGAGAAAATGTTACGTGTCGTATGAGGAACTGAACTGCTATCTTCGCATCGACGACGTCTGCCCCAGCATGGAGCGATTAATGGTTCGCTGCAGGAGGTCCAGAGATCCCAACTGCCTTCTATTTGCTTGCTAAGAGCACCTCTTAAGAGCAACTCTGTGCACAAATAAAGATATCATCTTCACACCGGTTTATCATTCTATCCTTCAGGGTTTGCTCCTTGGGAAATGCCGCCACGAGACAGTGTCGAAAGCGGCGTCAACAGCTCAACGTAGCTGATGCCGTCGGTGATACTCATAAACAGTGACAACATTGCGTCCAGAACTGTTCCAAAACGGGCCTGGCGAAATCGATGCTCAAGTCGGGAGCTGCGGTCACACAAAAAGCAGCCATGAATTCTGATCTCATCAAGATCATCAGCGAGACTGCATCCGTGCAAAGGCCTGCAACAATTCCCTGCCCTGCTCTGTGACACTTGGTGCGTCGGGCTCCTGGTCCTGGAGAAAATCATTCCTGAAGCAGCGATTGCTGTGAGCTGTTGTGCCTGGACTCAAGTTCTGTGACCACCCAAACAGGTACTTGCCAAGGTGCACAGCTTGAGAGAAGATGACGCCGAAAACATAAACGATCAGAATCAACCTGTGGAATGAAAACACATGCTCGGATACGCTCGGATGATGCTGGGACCGGCAAAACGTGTACGCAAGACATGTGCTGCCGAGGTTTCAGATTGAACATCGGGGCACACG